TAGAATGAATGTTTGTGTAAATATTTTAATTTATTACTAATAAAATAATCTTTACTAATAAAACAATATTTACCGCCATGAGTTGTAAACCCTTAATCAACTCTGCAATATCGCAATTCTTTACAATTTCCCGAATACCAATAGATTACAACGGTGCAGATGGGTATGTCAAGGATTTTGCAATGATACTTTTAATTATCAAATCATTATTCTCCGTCTTTAAAATTCAAAAAAGAAGAAAAATGTAAGGAAATAAAATATACAGGTAAATTACATAAATCACATAATGACATCTAATATAAATGCATTAATATGTAATTGTTAATTGGCGAGAATTACTATTGCTTCATTGCAGCTGCCTCGGGAAGAAGAGGATTGAGATTGATTATAAAGGTACTTGATTGGCGTGATGAGAGAAATAAATAACAATTATTTCCTACGAAATAACAAAAGCATATTTCAATATCACATAAAAAAAATGTTTTAGAAACTATTTGTCAAACTTAATTCCATATTCCAAGCAACTATCAACTATTTCTTTACTAATTATTTTAAAATATTTCTCTACTAATTTTTTATTTGGATGTTATGATGATTTTGTTAGTTTTTTATTGTTAAGTTTTAGAGAAAAATGGATGATTTAAGTCTTCAGAAAATAAATCAATTAATGTGGCATATGATTCATATCAATCGATTTTTTATTATACCTAGATCATTTAAATTTACAATTTTTTAAATTTTTAATTAGTATCATTTAAACATCGGTTTGCATGTTTTGAGTTTTGTCTTTGGGTTTTTTTTATAGAAGATTTCTCGTTCGATCGACACCTAATTTGAGAGAGACGACAATGACTTAATTGCTATTTAACGGAAACATTAAAACTAACACTGAAAAAAAATATTCCGTTAAAACAACAAATTCCGTTTCATAGGCAATCAGAAGAATACAAAACACGTGATGAAGGGAGGAAATCGGTGGAAGACTGTGTAATCCCGAATTGGAAGCATTGCTGCACTGTCTTTAGTATTCTTACTATATCACCCTCATCCAACATCGTATTGAGCTGATTCAAGAGGCTTTGGAATGCTAATTTAACGTGCTACAATTTCTCCTGAAATAGAGATTTTGAAATTTCCACGTTTTCCTAGCGAAAAAGGGGCCACAAGAGAAGGCTGAAAATCTGCAAATTTGAGGACGCGGATTCGTGAATGTTTTTTTTTTTTTTCCTCCTTTCCTGGTAAGATGGCTTGAATGAGGAAAAAAGAGGGGATGCTGGGAATCATTGGAAGGTTGGGTGGCTGAAAGGTTGAATTGTATTATGTATACATATACACACATTGAAAGGGCAGAAAAAAGGGAAATTGGGCAGCTTCAAAGGATTGGAATTCCAACAAACACAAATCTAAATTTCAGTACCACCATCCGTTCACAGACACAGTCAATCTCAAGCAAAAGGGACTAAAAAGTCTCGGGAATTTAAATATACCGATGAATCTTGTTCTTCAAAGTCCCTTGAGGTGCTTTCTCCAGATTTGTCCAAGCTATATTCATCTACACATGTTGCATACACATACATTAACATAACTTATTATGCTTAAATCGTGAACAATCTGTATGAATTACGAACACAATCAATGGCACCTTAATCTAGAGTAGCCATAACCCATTACACATTAGTCAATGATAGCACAACCATTATGCATGAATTCATAACAAGTCATATAAACAAAACCCAATACACATTATTTAATAAAAAAAATTTCAGACCTTGTTCGCAGAAAAAT